TATTTTTGATCAAATTCTCTCATATGTTCTTTCAAATATCAATTTCAATCATTTTTTCTCAAAGAGCCCTTCCCAGAGCCCCCAACTGAGTCAGCGCCCTTGTTTTTTTTCCCCATAGCGTTCTGTTCTTCACACTACTTCCTGAAATTTGCTATTATATGTTTATTTTGTAAGTGTAAGTTCCAAAAGGATAGGGAACACATCTGTTTTGTTCACCACCAAATGTGGGGAAAATTGGCATGGTGTCTGGTCACAGAATGGGCTTAATAATTATTTATTACATGAATATAGCTAGCCAGTGGGAATTTCTCTTACAGGTTTATCTCTTGCTTTTTCCTTACCTAAAACATTAGCTCCATCCAGATTTTCCTTTTTCATACACTCATCACCCAAAGCTTCATTCATTAATCTCTAATAGGACCAAAACTTTAAGGGCCATCTCATAAACCTTTTCTCTTAGGCTTCCCTTAGCATTTCAGCGTATTTCATTCTCTTCTTGGAAACCCATTGCACTTCTTTTTTTTTTTTTTTTTTTTTTGAAACAGAGTCTTGCTTTGTTGCCCAGGCTAGAGTGAATGCCGTGGGGTCAGCCTAGCTCACAGCAACCTCAAACTCCTGGGCTCAAGTGATCCTCCTGCCTCAGCCTCCCAAGTAGCTGGGACTACAGGCATGCGCCACCATGCCTGGCTAATTTATATATATATATATATATATATATATATATTTTATATATATATATATATTAGTTGGCCAACTAATTTCTTTCTATTTATAGTAGAGATGGGGTCTCGCTCTTGCTCAGGCTGGTTTTGAACGCCTGACCTCCAGCAATCCGCCTGCCTCTGCCTCCCAGAGTGCTAGGATTATAGGCGTGAGCCACCGCGCCCGGTCTATTTTCTGCACTATTCATTTGGTGTCCAATCTTCTATTGCCTTGTAACAACGTATTAGCTGTTGTAAATTAATGCCTTATAGTCACATATTTTGTCTTGCTAATGATGTCCGTAAGTTTACTGAACGCAGGACCCAGTACTCTGCATCCTAACACACACGGCATGCCCCTGCACAGTGTACTTTCTGCACCCACCCCTGACCCTGTCCCCATTATAAGACCCTAATATGGGAATTTGATCCATTTCCTCTTATTCTATTTTCTTCCTCAAGGGTTCTGAGTGTGTTGCCAGGATGCTGGGAAGGACATCTGGGATAAAGATAAGTTCTAAGGTCACAGAGAAGCAGCTCAGGGCGGAGTCTTGGGACAGAGGAGTTGGCCTGTTTTCTCGATTCCTCTTTAACAGGCACCTGAGTTACAAAAGGTGTCAAGGGGTACTTGCTAAGGAACTAGGTGTATTTTATATTTGATTGGGCATTTCCTAGAATATTTAGAAGGGTGACTTGATCAAGATTTTTGAACATGTGGATTTTTTAAATTAAATGAAACAAAAAGGTTACCTCCTCAAAAAGTTTTCAATTATTGGCTCAATTTCTCACTGTTTAATTTTTGGATGAATTAGACCTAAACATTAATTTAATTCAGGAAGTATCTTTGGGATCTGAGAAGTTATTCTGTACTTTTAGTTGCCCAGTTCCAATCTTGTCCAAATAATGATATTTAAGGAATATTTAAAATACTGAATACCTTAGCTACCTTTTGTTTTATTTTTATTTATTTTTTTACCAAAATGTAAGGGTTATAAAGCCTCTGTAACTCTTTAAATACTTTCAACCAACTTTCCTCAAGCTACTTCTGAAAAATGGTCTACAAAGTGTAAGCCTGTAACAATACCATCTTTGTAAGCATAGAACTATTGAAGAATAGTCAGTAGACATTTTTAGAATTATCTTTTTACTCGGAGATAATACAACTCTTAAGATAAGTATCGAAGAAGACATCATCTATCATTTATCTTGTCAATGGGGAAACTGAGATATAGAGAGGTTTAATGACTTGTCCAAGGGCACCTAAGTAAGCAGCAGTTGGATTCCAGGTTTGCGCTGGAGAACTCACCTTAAATGTAGGATTTCTATAAAACTACGCTGTTATATTTAGTAAGTACTAGTTCAAGGTTGTCAGTCTGGGCTCAGGACATAATTTGCAGGGCCCAGTGCAAAATGAAGATTCAGAGCCTCTTGACTGAAAATTATTTTTATTTTTTATTTGTTTTAAGACAGCGTCTCACTCTGTTGCCGGGGCTAGAGTGCCCTGGCGTCAGCCTAGCTCACAGCAACCTCAAACTCCTGGGCTCAAGCGATCCTCCTGCCTCAGCCTCCCGAGTAGCTGGGACTACAGGCATGCGCTACCATGACCAGGTAATTTTTTCTACATATTTTTAGTTGGCCAATTAATTTCTTTCTATTTTTAGTGGAGACGGGTCTTGCTCTTGCTCAGGCTGGTTTCGAACTCCTGACCTTGATCTATCCACCTACCTCGGCCTCCCAGAGTGCTGGGATTACAGGAGTGAACCACCGTGCCTGGCCTTGACTGAAAATTATTAAGCCAGCTGATGTTGACAGCAGAACATTAAACTAAATGCAGGGCCTTTCTATGTGCAAAGAGCCCTGTGCAACTGCACGGTTTGCCTTTCCATGAAACTAGCCCTGCCTAGGGTCTCTGGAAGCCCAGGAATGTGGGAGGTTGGGCCTCAGGAGGTCGTGAACTCCTGAAATCACAGGCAGAATTCTGTGTTAATGAGAATGTGTTTGTTTTTCATATTTCATAGCTTTTATTGAATTCTCAAAGCAGTCTGTAACCTCTTCAAGAATAATAAATGTTCTCAGAGAGCCCACAATGTTAGAATATATTCACAGAAACAAGCATGCTGGTGGTCACTGGGCATGATCTTTCAGAAGACGATATTTATAAATAAGCAGGTTTCATAAGTGCATGGGAATTAATACAAAACCAAGGAATGCTTAAAGCTGACCAGATCTTGCCAGAAACAAATGCACTTGAGAATGCACCTTCAGGAGATAGGAAAGCAAATGGTGAGATGATCAAGATGACCAATTCTTTATGAACATCACAGTGATACTGTGGTGCGCTATGAGCTATTTTATTTATTTCACCCCCTTAAAGGAAACTTCTCCCTCTTCTTCTATAATTGGATGTTACATTTAGCCTCCATTAGGGAAAGTATATTTTCATTTGCTTTTTTTTTTTTTTTTTGGAGACAGAGTCTCACTCTGTTGCCCCCTGCTAGAGTGCCGTGGCATCCTCATAACTCACTGCAACCTCAAACTCCTTCCTGGGCTCAAGTAGCTGGTGTTACAGGTGAGTGCCACTTTGCCCAGCTAATTTTTCCAATTTTTCTATTTTTTGTAGAGACAGGGTCTTTTTCTGTTGCTCAGGCTGGTCTTGAACTCATGGTCTCAAGCGATCCTCCCACCTCAGCCTCCCACAGTACTAGCATTACAGGTGTGAGCCACGGCGCCCAGCCTCTCATCTACTTTTAATTTCTCCAATAGCTGTAAAATCGACCAACTCATGGTGATTTGCATCTATTGTATAGACAACTATAGGGCCAATGTTAGAAGTCAAGGTAAGGTAGGAACTTGTTAATAGAGCAGGTGCAGAAGATGCCCTCGGAAATAGGAAGAGTAGTATAAAGATTGGATCCTGAGAAATGCTACAGATGAAATGTTATAACAGTTGAGTCTGGTTGGTACACACCTCATGGCCATCTCTTAGAAATCTCACACACAAATAGCCCTAAATGGGAATTTTGCTGAAACACCTGCTCTTGCAGTTTAGGTGGCAGTCCTGAATTTTTCTTTAGTCCCTTGTTCTGCTTTACAACTTTTAGACTAAACATGCCCCTCAGTCTAATCTCCAACTCATATTATGGCGATGTAGACAGACAGGTAATTGAAACCACAGGGTAATTCTCAAATTTCCATTTCCAGAGTGTCAAACTTCTCTCGGTACAGCCTCTAACAAGCAGAAAAGCACGATCTGCTTGAGTTTCCTGGTCCCTTTTCCCATGCTGTTCTTGCTCGTGGCACCATGGGGCACTCTACATGATTCAATGAGTGGCCCAACTCTTGCAGATCCAATGACAACCTTGTTTGCACACACCAAGTAACTCACCCATGGAAGAAAAAGCGTTCGTCATCCTACCCACCCCGAGAGGAGGAGGAGGCTGGCAGGTGGGACGCATTCCTCTGATTTTTCCAGGATAAGGTTGGGCACCCATTGTTTTAATAAACTGCAACTGCCCCGCGGGTAGTCTTACTCACTGGGGGTGTGAGCAGCCTTCCCCACAAGCCATCTACTCCAGTTGGAGTCTTCTGGCACCTGCTACCCTGCTCTCTCCAAGATGCCCAAGCCGCAGGAAGAGGTCAAAAACTTCCTACCGGAGCAGGCCCCGCCCTGGCCGCCCCGGCCTCTTTCAGCTTCTGGTTTAAGACCCGGGCGAGGCCCGAGTGGGAGGGTTCGGACGCGCACGGCCTGGGGTGGGGCCAGGGGCGTGCGAGGACGCGCGCCGGGGGCCGGCGAAGCGCGCCCCCGCCGTTCCCCGAAACCGGAGGGGACCCGAGGCCGGCGCCGTTTCACACGTGGCCCCGGCGTTTGCGCGCTCTCTCCAGGAATAGCCCCGGGGGCCTCGGAGGCCTCGGCGGGTCACAGCCCTGAGCCGCTCTCCCTCGGTCCGCAGCCACCACGGCGGCGGTGCCGCCACCCACGTTAGCCTTCTCCGGTCCTCGCCGGCCCGTTGCCCTTCCCAGCCCCTGCGCGCCCCACCTTGGCGGGCTCCGCCGACGCCAAACGTGCCTAAGCGGCCGGCGACGACGGGGGCGCAGCGGGGCAGCTGGAGCGGGTAGAGCCTCGGCAAAAGCTTCTCTCTCCTCCCACCCGGCCTCGCACCCACCCTCCGGGAGGTCCCGCACGGAACCGCCCGCCCTGCGAGCCCCGCCGAGCCCTCCGTCCCGGGCCACCCCCAGCCCGGTCTTCGCCTGCAGCGCGCGTGGGCTCTGCGCACCGCAGGGCTGGGGACCCTGGAATACCTGCTCCTCCAGCGCGGGGGTGGGGTTCAACTAGTGGTCCTCCCGATCCGGTCCTGCCCCGCGGCTGCGGGAAGTGCTCCAGCCGCGAGGAAACTGCTCTGGTCTTTCGGCTCCCAAACGTGACACTCTATATATCCGGCTGGGAGACTGGGTGTGGGGCGGGAGGAAACCACCCTCCCTCCGACCTTCCCGCCGCCGCCGCGGCCTCGGCGTTGGGCGCGGAGCCGGCGGCAGCCTCGGCCCGGGGCGGGAGGAGGCGAGGGCCAACGGAGCCTCGGCCGCGGGCGACGGACGTGGCAGGGCGGCCGCGCGCGCCGGCCCGCCCCGCGCCTTCCATTCATTGCGCGCCAGGCGGATGCGCTCGCTCACGGCTCGTGCATCTGCGTGGGGTTGTGTGTGGTTTTTTTGTTTTTTCTCCTTGCTTTTTGTTTTGTTTTGTTTTAATCATTTTTTAATCAGTGGGCGAGAGGAAAGGCAGCTGGAAAGGCGCCCCTCTCTGTCCGGAAAAGGAGAGCTCCCGCGCCTCGAACGAGAAGGAGGGGAGGGAGGGGGAGAGACGGAGAGACACAGAGACAGAGGGGAGGGAGAGAAAGAGGAGAGACGAGCGGTGAGCGATGAGAGAGAAAGCTGAGGCTGGCAGGTTTGGAGGACACACCTTTCCCTGCCCATCTTAGCAGAACAGGCATCCCCCAAAATCCCGGTTTCCTCGGCTCGCTACACTGCACATCCCGTGGGAGGGATGCCCTTGTATCTGCTCCAGAAGGCTGGGGAGGCGCCCTGCGGTGACCCATGAGCGCAGTGGCTTTTCAAAACCCAGGGGCGGAGGTTTGGAGGTGGCGAGGAGGACTGGTGGGGCGGTTTGCGCCCACCCGGGGTTCGGAGGGCAGAAATCTGGCGGTGCCTGCGGGAGGTGGGGCTGGGGGTGGGGGTCGGGGTTGGGGGTTGGGGTTGGGGTTGGGCTGGGGGTGGGGGTCGGGGTTAGGAGGTGGGAGACCAGAAAGGGTCGGAGATGGGAGCTACAGCAGCTGGCCGGCTATGCCCAGCAGCGCTTCTCTGGATTTGATAAAGGAAAAAAAAAAAGAATTTCAAAAGGTGTTTCATTTCTTAGTCTGGTAGTGTTTTGGGATTTGGTCATTGTTAAATTTTAAACGGAAATACTGGAACTGTAGGGGAAGACTTGTGGAGGGATGGACAGGCACGTGAGTGGAACCCCTGCTCTCAACCAGGAAGTGTTGAAAAAAAAAACGACCAACGCCCATCCTAATTCCCTGGACAATGTGGAAGGTAAATTTCCGGAAAAAAAAAAATATATATATATATATATACTGTGTTAAGAAAAATCAAAAGGAAATATTGCCCTATATGCTGTTCTCATTCTCCTTAGTACAACAATTGACAGGCAATAAAAAAAATAAAATTTGATTCATGAAAGTTAGAAGAAATAAAACGAGCGATTTCATGCATTAAAAAAAAAAACAAATCACACCCATTTTGAATTCTCTGCTCCTGGACTCTTAGTAATTACATGTGTTAATCAAAGTGTAGCCTGAAGACACTGTTACTGATTTCCTCTGATGACTACCCTAAAGCAAGAAAAAAAATGTTAGGACCAAATAAATACACAGAACTCTTTGTTACTCCCCCCCTACACACACACACTCAAGAATAAATCTGAATGTGTCCTCCAAACGTGTGTGACAGTACTTGAAAAGGTACTGTTAAATGCAGGTGAGAAAGTTGTGTAGAAATCACTTAAAAGAGAGCAGATGGAAGGTAAATTGTTACATACAACTCTTTGGAAAGCGGTTTAGCTGTACATTTCCAAGCCATTCAGTTACTGAAAATTTGTTATTGTTCTGGACATTTTGATAAAAGATTCCTGCTTCTTAGAATGTATTCAAAGGAAATAATCCACAAAAAGAGAAATGCCATATAGACCGAGTAACATATTTATTACAGAGTTATTTATAAAGTAGAAAATATGAAACCGGCTTTCAATGGGATGTTCAAAAAGAAAACACAGCATTATTATAAATTACAGAACCATAATTTGATTAACACCATGTAAAATGTTATTCATATTTGTAGAATGTATTAGTATGTTAGGGCTGTCATAAGGAAGTAGGCAAACTGGATGGATTAAACTATAGAAATCTATTATTTCACAGTTCTGGAGACTAGAAGTCCAAGATCACGATATCTGCTGGGCTGGTTCCTTATGAGGGCTGGGAGGGAAAATCTGTTCTATGATTTTCACCGACTTTTGGTTGTTTCTTGGCAATCTTTGGTGTTTGTTGGCTCGTAGAAACATAACCCTGGTCTCTGCCTTCATCTTCATATGACATTCTCCTTGTGTTTCTATCTGTGTCCAAATTTCTCCTTTTTAGAAGGATACCAGTCATATTGGATTACAGCTCACCCTAAGGAGCTCATTTTAATTTAAGTAACTGAATCTGCAACAATCCTATTCCCAAATCGAGTCACATTCCGGGATTCTGGGGATTAGGACTTCAACATATGAAATTGGTGGGGGGTAGAGGGAGCCCAATTCCACCCATAACAGATAATTTTGCAAAGAGGCATTGGTAGTCCCCGAAAGACATATCATCCTGTGTTATCTCAGTGGGCCCTAAATCCAATGGCAAATAACCTTACAAGACAAAGACAAAGGGAGATCTGAGGCCCACGCACATTGGAGAAGGTGATTTGAAGATAAGGCGGAGAGAGATTGGAGTGATATAGAAGCCAAAGAAGCCAAGAAATGCCAACAGCCATCGGAGGATGGAAGGGGCAAAGGAAGACTCACCCCTAGAGTCTCTGGAGGCGGGAACATGGCTTTCACTTTAGTTTCAGTCTTCTAACCACAAAACTGTGAAAGAATAAATTTCTATTTTTTTTAAGCCACCCAGTTGGTAGTAATTTGTTGTGGCAGCCCTAGGAAACTAATGTAGGCAAAGTGGCTGGGCTGTAATTCTGTGTATTTACTTTTTGATTTTTTTTTTTTTAAGAGAGATGTATAGTTCAATACCATTTTGAGGGAATATTTTAATAGAGCTCTCTTAAAATTTTCATCCATTTTAGAAGGGATGAGCAAAGGACAGACTAAAGACTTCATCAACTTGTAAACCAGCCTCTCCAATAGGCCCAAATGTAGGTAAACTGCCATAGGTTTTGATCTTCTACAGTGGGATCTATTATTCTGGAACATCAAACATGGTGTACAAGCAACTCCTGTTTGTACGAATTTAGCTTCACGTTGGTTTGGTCAGGAGGAGGTCTCCAGTTTTTTTTATCTCACAACCAACATTGCTCACGTTTCGCAATGTTGAGAAATAGATTATGACAATAACTGACCTTGACTTTCAAAATGTTCTCCCCCTCACTATTGCTCAGTAACTTACCGTGTCATTCAACCTCACAAAACAAATATCTCTTTGTAAATCCGCCTGGAGGTTCTTATTGAATATGAAAAATATCTACAAAATATGCCATACCTCAAATACTATGTCAGATCATTCCAACGATGCTGTAAAATTGAAGGTTGTAAATAAATCTAATGATCCAAAGAAATGTTATTCTTCCTCAGTGCTATCTATTTAAACAAGTACTGTTTCTGTTCATTGAAACAGAGCTTTGATTTTGATCTATAGTAAAATTCTAAAAATACGGTGTTTTGGAACTGGAAAGCTGGTGACTGGGGCCTAATGTCTTATTTTATAGAGTTGGGGGCTGGGCTTGATGTCTTTTAGAAGGTCACTGAATTAGTTTTCTGTTGCTGTATAACCACATACCACAAACAGTATTTTATACCCATTTATTATTTCAAAGTTCTGTAGGTCAGCTGTCCAAACATGGTATAATTGAATTCTTTTCTCACAAGGTGAAAATCACAATGTCAACCCAGGCTGTGATCCCTTCGGGGACCCAGGGTGTTCTTCCAAGCTCTTCGTTGGTTGTTGGCAGCATTTAGTCCCTTGCAGCTAGAGGGCTGAGGTCCTCATTTCTTGCCAGCTGTTGGCCAGGGGTTTCTTCTAGTTCTCAGAGGCCATCCTCAGATCCTAACCATGTACCCTCTCACAACGTGTCTGCTTGCTTCTTTAAAGCCAGCAAGAGAAATTCTTTCTGTTTTCAAATCTCTGACCCTTTTTAAGGTCTGACATTAAAAATAAGGCCTACGTAGGATAATCTCTCTTTTGGTTAGCTCAAAATCAACTGATGTAGAGCCTTCACTTTCATCATATAACATGTAATCACCACAGCAAAATCTACCATGTTCACAGTCCTGCATCTTCTCAGAGGGAAGGCACCATACAGGACATATAAACTAGAGTGTGGTAATCTTGAGGCCATCTTAGAATCCTGCCTCCTATGGTCACTTAGATGGTGGGTCGTAGCACCAGCAGTAGAGCGGAGTGTTTCTACTTTATGGTGGAGTTCCTTTTCTTTTGCATAAAGAAAATTATTTTTCATTGTCTTGGCCATTTTGTGAAGCAGCTAGTTATAGATTTTTACAGAATTTTTTTTCTTGCCTTCTTTTCCCTGCGGAAATATATAGATCTTTGAAAGTTACACAGTTTGTTTTCTGACAAAGCGTAACAAGTGAAGACTACACCCAGGTTTCCTGATTCCTTGTGTGCTGCTCAAAATCTGAGCTGATGGTTTCTTAAGCGTTGGATCATAAACACCAAGAGTCTTTTGAGAATGCCACTGAGAACGTGTAGAGGATTCATATTGGGAATACAACATGGTTACACCTGAATTAACTAAAGGCATATTTTCTCTATTGACTATTATGAAGACATAAAAATGAACAAATTTAAGCTACGTCAGTTGAATTGCATTAATTTTCAAGAAGTTTAGTTTGTGGAGAAAATTATAATCTGAAAAACATGTTTAATATGATCTTGTTCCTATTAAACCATAGTCAAATAACTTTGAATAGGTATGTATGTATATAGATATATATATAGGTCTATAGAAGCATGGGGAAACACAGGAAGGACAGAAACTAGATTATTAACATTACCTCGGCTGGTGGAAGAGGGACACTAACGCGTGTGGGGGAAGTAAGAGAAAGAGTACCAGGCAAAGATGGTAAAGAAAAAGGCAGACATTTATAAATCAAGGTCTCATATGGTCATATATGTGCAAAATTATAATTAAAATTTTTTAATTAAATAGAATGCTGGGAGTCGCCACTCCATCATAACAAGTATACAGCTGGGCAAACTGAGGTCACATACAGTCACTGGTCACTGCCCCCCAAATTTGGAGAGAGAACAGATAGAAAGAATCACAAGTTATCAAAGCAGAAATCAGCGTGGGGATGGGAAACCTGAACTGTAATTGATCAATTGCTGGAGGCTTGATACTGACAAGCCTGAGAGTTAAAAGAGTTAAAAACCCCACAAGGACTCAGTAGTAGGGGCCCCCAACACTTTTGTGATTTTACCTCCAGTGTCCCCCCATACCCTCATAGTGCATACCAAATAAAAATCTCCTCTTATTTAAGGTGTTGGGACAAAATTCTGTACCCTGTGAAATAACCCTTCTAAAATGGAAGGAAAAATAAAGCTGTTCTCAGACAAACAAAAATTGAGGGAATTTGTTACCAGTAGACCTGCCTTTCAGGAAATGTTAAAAGAAGTTATTCAGAGAGGAGGAAAATGGTATAGATCGAAACATGGATCTACATGAAGAAAGGGAGAGAGCCTCAGTGACTGAACAAGTGAAGGTAAGATAAAGACTATTATTTTTCTTATTCTTAATTGATCTAAAAGATAGTAATTTGCTTAAAGTAATAATAGCAACAATATATTTGATACATGCATATATATGTTTGTGTGTGTGTGAAATGAATGGCAGCAATGATATAAGGCAGGGGTCCTCAAACTTTTTAAACAGGGGGCCAGTTCACTGTCCCTCAGACCGTCGGAGAGTGCACACTGTGGGCCAGGGACGAGTTGGCTGCTAAGCAGGACAGGCAGTGGCGGCAAAAACACCCGGAGGGCCGGATAAATGTGCTAGGTGTAGTTTGAGGATGCCTGATATAAGGGATGGAAGAGAGGAACTTAGAGTATTTTGTTATTAGGAGGTACTTGCACTACTTGTGAAGTGGTATAGTGTTATTTGAAAGTGGACTTGGATTAATTGTAAGTATATTTGTAGACTCTAGGGCAACCGCCAAAGAAAGTAAAAAGAAATTAAAGAGATAAGAAAAAGCCAAAGTGTTTTATCTACGTTCACACACTCAACCTTTCTGGCACCAGATGTATGAGAGTTTTTTCTTGATACACCAAGGAATTCTCCAGCAGATATCAATTGGCTGTCCTGTAATTCAACTCAACTCTGACACTCTCTACCTGGAGTTAGAGTCATATTCCACATGTTAAGGGCTCTGTGCATCAAGACTTCCCACCCCATGCCAGATACCCATTGCTAGTAGTAGGTTGTCACCTATACTTTTGACCAACTGGATGTAAATTGTGGGTTCTCACTGCCTCTCCTCCCGTCCATTAATTAGTTAGAGCAGCTCATAGAACTCAGGGAAACTATTTATTATACTTTTACCAATTTATTAATAAAGGATATAATGAAGAATACTAATGAACAGCCAGATGAAGACATGTATAGTTGAGATGTCTGGAAAGGTCCCAAGCACAGGAGCTTCTGTTCCCATGGAGCTGGGGGGTACCACTCTTCCAGCACATGAATGTGTCAGTCCAGAGGTCCTGTGAACCCCCTTGTTTTAAGGCTGTTTATAGAGGTTTCATCAAGGAGTCATAATCAATTATTAATTCCATTTCCAGCCCCTCTCCTTTTTCTGGGGAATTGGTGGTAGGACTGAAAGGGCCAAGCTAATCATGGCTTGGTCTTTCTGGTGACCAGCACTCTGCCAGGAGTCCACCAAGAGTCACTTCATTGGAACAAAAGGAGGCTCTTGTCATCTAGAAAATTCCAAGGCATGCAGGAGCTCTGTGCCATATGCTCCTATTACTCAGGAAATTACAAATGTCTTAGGAGGTCTGTCAGGAATCAACGTCAAATACCAAATATTTGGACAACATATTCTCCTCGTATACCCATCACTCAGGAAATTATAAGGGTTTTTGACGCTATATGCCAGGGACTGGAGCTGGAGAATAATATATATATTTATTATTATCACAGGAAGTATTATGGATATACTAAGAAAGGAGAGCAAATGGAATCATATAAAATGCTCAGTTAAAACTTCAAGAGGCAGAAAAAGTGTAGAAGACAAAAATAGGGCTACACAAAGGGCAACAAAATAGAAAACAGTAACAAATATGGTATATCAATACCAATATATCAATATGCAAAAACATGAAGATGCAGAATCCTGAAGGAAGAAGACTGATGGCCCTTCCCTTATTTTACCCTCCCCAGAGAAAGAAATTGCCTTTATTTCTAGGAGAAGGACCTTGTAACACTAACTAGAATTAGGTTACGGAGCCACAGAAGAGATCTCCCTTATGTGTCATGAGACAAACGAGTGCGAGAGTGACTACACTCCAAAGAACAAATAAATATATTCATGATGCTTTGTATCTCTGTGAAGCCTAAGTCAGCAATGTTCCATTGTCTACACTGTACACAAGAATAGCATCTATCATTAGGGCAAGTCTCTCCAAATGCTGAATCATGGTTCGGGGCATTTTGACTTTACTCCCATGGTTTGTCTATATCTGTTAGCAAGCTTTGTACCTAGTCTAGATATTTTAATAGCCACAAGTAGAGCTAAAAAACCTGCCATATAAAACCATCCTACCTTGACAAATGTACCTTTAAATGACAATTTAAAAACATGTGTGTAAAGCCATGACTTTTATATGACTGCAGTTGCTAAGGTAATCAAGATGACTCAAAATATTATTATAGTACATATGTGAATGTTCATTTGATGGGCTGGCAATGTTTGGGTGAGTAATAAAATAAAGATGTACATAATTCCAAATTATTTCTTATTTATTTCCAGAAATGGATTTTTCTTGCCTGCATTTAAACAAATTACTAATTATATTATTAAAGCCAAAATAATGTCATAATTTGTATTCTATTTACAGTAATTATCTTGTAATAAAGTAATAAAATAAGGTAATAAAGCTTATAACTATTTTCCAAAAAATGTGGATTAAGTTAAATGCAGAATTTGAAAAAATAAATATATTTTTAATGCTTTAATAAAATTTTTAAATTCTTTATTTGAATCAAAAGTCAAACTGCAAATTAAATTATTGAATATCAAAGTTTTGAATAAAAGCTAATTTTTACATTATTGTTTTGAAAAATCGAATAAATCTCATTAAGAACTTTTATACAAATAAAATTATTCCCAATTCTTGTATTCGATGTTCCTCTAGCTTGCAAGGCAAGAAAAATAAATCAAACCAGTAACATGCTATACAGTTACATAGCATGTTACTGAGATCTACATATATAAAAATGTAAGAGTAATGTAGATTGTTTAATATGGCTAATTTTCCTGAGCCATGAAAAGCAACTGCTGCAAATACTACACTAATAGGGAACCAGAAATTGGAACATAAGAAATAAGACATTTAACTCTTAACACGTTAAGGAAAAGACACTTTATGCAGGAGTTCCCTGCATTCATGGTCTCTGAGAGACAGGATGTGATATTCATTATTTTATCTTTTCTGTGACCTAAATGCTTCTGCCACTCAAATTTTTCTCACTTTCCAAAACCATGTCCATCTCTGATGCTAGCAATGGCACAACTCAAAACCTCCATGGCATTTGGATGCAGTCACATCGTGTCTTAAGGATAAATGGCAAGAGATGTGTGGACAGTATTTTCTGGGACCTGAATGATGTTCCTCATGGCAGGGGGTGTTTGCACCAGCAATGTGACAGTAATAAATACCAGATCCCCAGTGACAGAAGCACCTTTGCATTATTTAATGTATTTGTTTTTGTGTGTATTTGTGATATGCAGAACCCTCTGTAAGGCAATCCTTAGGTAAGGATACCCTCTTGCTGGCATCCAAGATCACTCTTAGACTGTATAAATGAAAGACCAATGGGAAAGGTGCTAAGCATCTAGATATAAGATTTTCAACCATGATATCGAGAACCTGAGAAGTGGTAGAAGGGACCAGGTAAGGAGGAAGGATGCTCAGCAGGTGTCTGACCTGGCTTAAGGAAGAGCATTAGTGATAGAGAATCCAGCCATAGTACTGGGCTCAGATCATTGCACAATGACTGACAGGAGCAAGAGAAGAGGTATAATATTAATACAGGTTTTATTCTTCTTTTTGCTGTGGTCACAAGTGGTATAGTTTCCCCCCATGACATATGATGGTTTAATACAGGTTTTAGTGGAAGAAGATCACCAGCTCATTCTTGTAGATGTATGATGGTTTGGGTGACTGCAGCTCATTCCACAGCACCAGTTCTGCTTAACAAGTGCCCCACCATGCACTGTCATTCCCTGCAGGTGGGGTACAACTGGGATTTGGGAAGCCCTCTCCTAGTAACTTCTATAATTGGTTGAAGGTTGAAAATAGGTGGTGAGGAGAAAGGGTGAAAGAGACAAGTCTTCCACCAACTCATGATATTCAAGGTATCAACATATTACAGTGAATATATTCTGACTTGGGCCTGAATTCCAACAGACCTTGGATACTATTACAAGTTGTTATCTTTTGTCCTCCATAACTTTGGTTAGGAACAGACCTGCTATTAAATGCATAATCACACAATTTTCTGTGGCCTTTCCTTAATACTTTTCCAAGCAGAAAATCTGAAGTTTTCAGCTGTGTGCTTAATAATTACTGTTTTCTGAACTTCAAGTCTCAGGGGGCATGTTATATTTCAATATCTTTTTTATCTTCATGCTTCATTGTTACAAAGGCTATCCTAACTTTAGTGTTTGGCGCTTGTAAGTTAAAAAAAAAAATCTTATCCCTACCTATATCTCTCCAAATAAATACTATCAAGTTTTACTCTTTTAAAAAAATAGCCATATTTAGTGGAAAATTTTCTTGGATTTTATAAAATATTGAATATGAATCATCTTTGGGTAAAAATTCTGACACTTTCCTCTTCAAAGTTTTATTTATTCAATTAGCTGTCCCATGTTCAGGTGCTAGTTATTATGCGATAGGGTGCTCAGTTTCCCTTTTTAAGAACTGCCACTGATACATAAGGGGGATCCTCCATCAACCATCATTCATTCATTCATATTATTCATTCAGTCATTCATAACAAATATTCATGGACCATTTGCTATGTGTCAGGCAGTGTCCCAGTTTTGAAACTGGGACAAAAGAATCAAAATTCCTGCCCTCTTCTAGATGATAAATAGAGAAGACAGGGATTAAACAAATAATCCTCCAAATAAACATCTGATAGCCAATTGTGACAAGTTCTGTGAAGGAGAAAGACCAGGACTCTATGAGAGAAAATAAAGAGGAAACCTGATTTAGATTCGGGAGTTCAAAGAATACCTTTGTAGAATGGCATTGAAGTTGACATTAAAGGAAGAGAGAGAGAGAGAGAGAGAGAGAGGGAACGTTTTGGACAAGGAAAACAGGCATACAGGGGAAGTGTAGTACTCGGTCTGTGGTTTGAGATGAGTTAGGAGAATAGGCAGAAGCCAGATTATCCAAGGCTTCGTAGGTTCTGGTAGAATATTTGGACTTGATATTCCACCAGAAGTACAACAGAACTGTGGAAAGATTTTAAGAC